GTCTGTTTCTATGCATACTTTGTTGCTGCTGGAGTTTTTAAACACCTCAGTGTCGCTGCTGGACTGAGAATAGTCCACCAACAAAAAATATCCAGGCAACAGTGTCCTGTGACCTCTGATGAAGGACTAGAGGATGACCAACACAAACTGTGCAGCAGCAGATGAGCTATCGTCTCTGACTTTACATCTACAAGGTGGACTGACAAGGTAGGAGTGTCTAATAGAGTGGACAGTGAGTGGACACAGTGTTTAAAAACTCCAGCAGCACTGCTGTGTCTGATCCACTCAGACCAGCACACACACACTAACACACCACCACCATGTCAGTGTTACTGCAGTGCTGAGAATGATCCACCACCCAAATAGTACCTGCTCTGTGGTGGTCCTGTGGGGGTCCTGACTACTGAAGAACAGGGTAAAAGAAGGCTAATAAAGTATGCAGAGAAACAGATGGACTACAGTCCGTATTAAAATGGGAAAAAAAGTATTTTTCCATTCTTGCTTTATCATTAGAGGACAAATACAGAAAAGCAGCCTATCCTGAACTGCCATGTAAAATCTGTGTCGTTCCTTTTTTTGATGCTGAGTTTCTTTTTTTAGAAAATCTGAATAAGATGTTTATGTTTTTCATTAAGGAAGAATAATCCTTGCATCTTTAACATCTTGAATACACGTTATTGTCAATATCTGCAGATTTATGGTTCCCAACTAATCGATTAATCAAAGCCATAATGGACTAATTAATTGATAATAAACAGCTGTTAGCTGCAGCCTAGTTACAGTGTTTCACACTGTAAATATGTTGCGTTAGCTGTGCTGTGCATTCATGTGTTTCCACTCTTCCTGTGGTAAAACATAAATGTACAAGCAGTGATTTCAGTATTTGAATACTGGTACATCAAAGATAACTAAGTACTTGAGTACCATGCACATCCTTAGCTAATGAAATGGATGTGGAATGTAACTCAGACAGGCCATCAGCAGTCTAGATTCTGAAGAAGTCAGGATAAAGCCTGTTTATTGGTGTATTGATATTTTGATACTGAATTTTTCAATACCCAGTAGTACTGAAGTGCAAACCCTGTAGCAAAAAGGTTGGGGCAGCAGGTACAATGCAAAAATAAAAGAAAGGAATGATTTATAAACTTACTTTGGTCTTTATTTAATCTAAACACTACATAGGCAAGATATGTAATACTTTACCTTTCAAATTGTTTTCTTGTACATAAATGTTCAGTCGTGGGCAGGATGTTAGGGAACCAGCCTTGCGTACATGACTTAGGTGCCCTTGAGCAAAGCACCTAACCCCCAACTGCTCCCTATGGATAAGGCTGCCCAGAGCTCTGGGCAAGTGTGCTCACTGCCCCCTAGTGTGTGTCTTCACTAGTGTGTATGTGGTGTCTCACTGCACGGATGGGTTAGATTGCGGAGGTGAAATTTCTCCGCTGTGGGACTAATAAGGGTTACTTAATCTTAATAATCTAATCAATCTGAAAGTTGGGATACAAACATGTTTGGATATAAAAGGAGCATCCAATTAAGGCTGGTTTATTTTTTAAACAGGATGGGTCGAAGCTCATCACTTTGTCAAAAATGCATCAGCAAAAAATCCAACAATTTAAAAAATAACAATTCTAAAGCTGTTAAAGATAAAGTGCTTCACCCTCTACAATGCAAAATATCATCAAAGTTTCTGGGAGTTTCAATTCTGCGAAGTAGAAGGCCAAAAAACACAAATGGATGTTCATGACCTTTGACCCCTCAGATGGCACTGCATTAAAAACCAGCATGCTTCTGTGATGGATCTCGCTGCATGGGCTTGGGAATACTTCGAAAAAATATTCCGAATGCAAGTTACTACTGTACCATGCACAGTGGAAGCCATATGTCAACAGCATCCAGAAACACCTCCGACTTCTCTGGGCTTGAGCTTAAATGGACTGATGCACTGTGGAAAAATATGCTGTGGTCTGACGAGTTCACCTTTCAGATGTTTGGTTACAACAGCATGGCTGCATAATCAGAGAGAGCAGGTGCTAGACTGGTCTGAAAATGTGTGCACAGCGAAGACCTGTGTAACAGAAGAATAGCAAACAATTCCGCTTCCAAAACTTGTGTCTTCAGTCCCCAAATGATTAAGTGGTGTTAAGAAGAAAAGTGACGTAACAGGAACGGTCACAACTGTTTTGGAACGTGTTGTAGGCATCAAATTCGGAATGGGTTAAACAGAATTCATTAGCATTTCACATAATGCCACAACTTTTTTGGAATTGGGTGCAAAAAAAAAAGTATTTGTAAGCAAAAAATTTGATAGCCAGCACTATTCACAACAGTGGATGCTGGATTCCCAGTCTGCCCTCAATGAGCAGCGGCTGAACGTTCTCTGTCGCCCCCCCCCCGTCCTCTATTCTCCGCTCATCTTTGCTCCCTTTCTGATTGCAAACCATAATTCATCTGTTCAAACAAGACCCCGTCTCCATACAGTCATTTGCTTATCCGCTTCACAATATGTTGATTCAGAGTGGTGAAATGTGACCAGTCACGCATAGCAGAAGTGTCACACATTAACACTAGAAATAACTGTTCTAGAGTGGCTGTGGGGTAGAAGGCTCGAGCGAGCGGAGAACGGGGAAAACGGGGAAATACACAGCACAAGAGAACACTGTGAAACAGGCCGACACGCCCAGCCCTATGATCACTCACACTTCACCCACTCGAAGCAAAACAACTAACAACAGATGACACAGTAATGATGCAGCACTGAGGAAAGCTAACACGGCATGCACAAAGAACATCAACAACACATTTGTGTATCCAATCATAGCGACGTTTGAGAAATGTCTTTTAGTATACACTTCACTGTATTCGGGATGTTTGAATAAATTTTTTCGCAGTGCGGCAATATAATAAATGGTTTGCTAACACTAAGGCCTGTCACGATTATTACATAATCGGCTGATCGCAATTGTTGGAGCTGGCTGCAATTATTTCATACAGTTGTGAGCTTTTACAATCATATGTTTACATCACCACTATCTGTGTAAATTGGGTGTGTTTTCATTCGTTAGGCTGAGGTGAATGCATGTAAATAAAAGAAGCAGAAGAACATTTATTGAGATACGTCAAGAGTCTTTGAAAACAAAAGACGTCCGCCCACCTTCAGAGGGCGGCGGTGAGTAACGTTTATTTGATGTTTGTTAATAACGCCCTTAGAGGGCGGCGCTGAGCGATGTTTGTTTACTTGATGTTTAATAATAACGCCTTTAGAGGGCGGCGCTGAGCGACGTTTGTTTAGCTGATGTTTGTTAATAACGCCTTTAGAGGGCGGCGCTGAGCGACGTTTGTTTATTTGATGTTTGTTAATAACGCCTTTAGAGGGCGGCGCTGAGCGACGTTTGTTTATTTGATGTGTGTTAATAACGCCTTTAGAGGGCGGCGCTGAGCGACGTTTGTTTATTTGATGTGTGTTAATAACGCCTTTAGAGGGCGGCGCTGAGCGACGTTTGTTTATTTGATGTTTGTTAATAACGCCTTTAGAGGGCGGCGCTGAGCGACGTTTGTTTATTTGATGTGTGTTAATAACGCCTTTAGAGGGCGGCGCTGAGCGACGTTTGTTTATTTGATGTGTGTTAATAACGCCTTTAGAGGGCGGCGCTGAGCGACGTTTGTTTATTTGATGTTTGTTAATAACGCCTTTAGAGGGCGGCGCTGAGCGACGTTTGTTTATTTGATGTGTGTTAATAACGCCTTTAGAGGGCGGCGCTGAGCGACGTTTGTTTATTTGATGTGTGTTAATAACGCCTTTAGAGGGCGGCGCTGAGCGACGTTTGTTTATTTGATGTTTGTTAATAACGCCTTTAGAGGGCGGCGCTGAGCGACGTTTGTTTATTTGATGTGTGTTAATAACGCCTTTAGAGGGCGGCGCTGAGCGACGTTTGTTTATTTGATGTGTGTTAATAACGCCTTTAGAGGGCGGCGCTGAGCGACGTTTGTTTATTTGATGTTTGTTAATAACGCCTTTAGAGGGCGGCGCTGAGCGACGTTTGTTTATTTGATGTGTGTTAATAACGCCTTTAGAGGGCGGCGCTGAGCGACGTTTGTTTATTTGATGTGTGTTAATAACGCCTTTAGAGGGCGGCGCTGAGCGACGCTTGTTTAGTTGATGTTTAATAATAACGCCTTTAGAGGGCGGCGCTGAGCGACGCTTGGTTATTTGATGTTTGTTAATAACGCCTTTAGAGGGCGGCGCTGAGCGACGTTTGTTTATTTGATGTTTGTTAATAACGCCTTTAGAGGGCGGCGCTGAGCGACGTTTGTTTATTTGATGTGTGTTAATAACGCCTTTAGAGGGCGGCGCTGAGCGACGTTTGTTTATTTGATGTGTGTTAATAACGCCTTTAGAGGGCGGCGCTGAGCGACGTTTGTTTATTTGATGTTTGTTAATAACGCCTTTAGAGGGCGGCGCTGAGCGACGTTTGTTTATTTGATGTTTGTTAATAACGCCTTTAGAGGGCGGCGCTGAGCGACGTTTGTTTATTTGATGTGTGTTAATAACGCCTTTAGAGGGCGGCGCTGAGCGACGTTTGTTTATTTGATGTGTGTTAATAACGCCTTTAGAGGGCGGCGCTGAGCGACGTTTGTTTATTTGATGTGTGTTAATAACGCCTTTAGAGGGCGGCGCTGAGCGACGTTTGTTTATTTGATGTGTGTTAATAACGCCTTTAGAGGGCGGCGCTGAGCGACGTTTGTTTATGTGATGATTAAGCAGTAGAACACAAGAGGGAGTATGTCATTGCGAAGTAACATCACGGCTGTGATTTGGTTGCAGGCACAAGTTGAAGCCGATAACACACGACCTCGAGTGTTCTATTGCTTTTATACAACAGTTAATAAATAAAGTAAGAAATGAATAAACTGGGCTGTGAACGCGGCGTTTAATATGTTTTAATGTCAGCAGTTCCTTCCGCAGCTCGTTGCTACGTCAGAGTAACGAGCTCCGCTCACTCGCTGCACAGCCGGCAGTTTGTCACAGTTAGAGAACAGCGGTGGGTAATTTCATGACTATTAAACAGTCTTTTTTATTTTCCATTCTTTTTCTTCCATTCCTTCAGTGCACAGCCACATCTGTAACATATTAAATAAGACACAGGGTGTAAAGTGGCAAATAACAAACATACGTTATATGAGCTGATATTACACTTGTAAACAAAGCACTGATCTGTGGTAATCTCCACTGACGTTCACTGAATTTTACAACCGCTGATAACTACTACTAATAATAATAACAACAATAATAAAAAAAGTAATGGTTTCATATAGACTTTTTATAGTGCAGCTGTAGAGCTCATGGTCTCGTTACAAAATCCACAATACCAACAGTTCATACAAATATTACTTGAACAGTTTGTGAAATAACAATGTTACATAAATGTGAAAAGTGCCCTCAACTGAGTTCAAATGACCTTCTCTTCGGGCACTAATAACACACTGAACAATAAGATGACTTCTCAGGCTATTTTAGCAGGCAGACTTGTGGTCAGTGTGTGGTTCACAGTCATGCCCACCGGCCACAGGCGCTTTTTCTATTTCTCTCTCTGTATGTTGTTAAAAGGCGAAACCAAAATCGGAGATATTAGAACACTTCTTTTCATCCACTCACTGATTTACGACAATGTATGACTCTTGCAGCTGAATTTCAAATCAGTCAAAAAAAAAAAGCTACTCTTTGGCACGCTTGTGGGCCACTAGTGGCTCATGAGCAACAGCGACAGAGACTGCTGCTTTATAGTAAAACCACAGCACATCAGAACAGATACACTCACTGCAGTAAAAGTGCATGTATAAAGATCCAGCTTCTTAAAGCAGAACGTGGAGAAAACGGTCAGCATGCTCAAAAACATGTAACAGAATTAAGCAGTGATGCGGGTTTATTGAGCCCTGCCTGTATTTTCGGTGTCAACCTGAATGTGCGCCACACAGTCGCACACCACAAACACGGTCGTTGTCAGTTGATTAACATCTGGCCTGAGTCATCAACATCCTGCAATGTTTCTCAATCAGATTGACTGTGAGGGATCCTTCTGTATCGACCCCATTTACCACAGTCTAAAGGCAGAGCTACATTTCAGCGAAGATGCATATAAATGCATATGAACAGCTTGGTGTGCACATTGCTAAGAGCTCAACTATACGTGGTGCTGAGCATCAAGCAAATGCTAATTTTTTGTGGTATATCCGGTGGCGCAGGTGTTGGTGGCGGGTAGGATGTGTCAGGCGATTTACTGAATCCACTGTTTTACTTCTGTCTGTTTTCTCTCTGCTAGAAGTCTTTCTTGGGGTCAAAAATGGCTTCTTCTTCATTATTTCTGTCCATCGTGGTTTGGTAAATGCAACGCTGCTCCCGAATTCCATGCATTTCTGATATATACAAGCACACGGGGGGGGGTGCGGTGGTACAAATCGGCCCTAACAAATATTTTTTTGCCATGCAGGAAGGTGTGTCTGTGTATCCTTACTGGAAGAATGGAAAACAAGCTCATGTTGTTTGTCAGGGCCTGAACCCTGAATACCTTTGCTTATCGGTTCATCTTCATTTTTGTTTGGAATGCAGGAATGTGTCTCAACCTACATCTCAGGATACATCCGATCAAATCTGTTAGCAGGAACATCTGATCAAATCCATTAGCAGGAATATCTGACCAAATCCAAGCAGCGCCGGTCAAATGACGGTGCAGCGATGGGTGGTGTCCGGACTGACGCTGGAGCCCCCCTCCGTCTTCACCGTGGTTTTGGACATGGTGGTGTGAGAGCTGCGGAGGTCGCGGCGGTGGCAGAGGCGCTCGCGGTAGTTCTGGGCGAAGATGAGCAGCATGAGTGGGTTGATGCAGCTGTGCGAGTAGCTCAGGCAAATGCTGATGTTGTAGGCATAGATGAAGATGCTGGTGGGCTGCTGGATGCTCAGGTTGATCACCTGGATGACGTGGTACGGGGACCAGCACAGCAGAAACAGGGCGATGACCATCAGCACCATCTTGGTGGCGCGCTTGGCCCACACTGACTGCTTGCGCTTGACCCGCCGAATGGAGCGGAACACGTGATACAGAGTCAGAGAGTAAAAAGTACTGATTATGATGAGGGGCACGATGAAGCCCAGAGTGGACTGGTACAGCGTGTACCAATACATGTCCTTAGGGCTGTCCAGGTACATCATACACACGTTCATGTGCTTCTCGGAGATCACCTTGGCGTATATCATGACAGGGATGGTGAGGAGAAAACTGCCCACCCACACCAGCAGGTTGATGACAATGGTCCACTGGATGGTCCGGTTCTCTGAGGTGGGATGGACAATAGCAATGTACCTAGGAAACAACCAGAAGATACATTCATGGTCAAACTCACCACATACATTCTAGGGCCCATAGTGTTTGGGTATGATGTGCTGATTTAAATATCTGGCAAAGCTAGTTGAAAGTTTGGACACACAAACTAATTAACTATTCACACAGAACTGGTTTTACAAGAGGTAAACAAGGTTTATCTGTTATAAATTAAACTGCTGAAATAACCCCAAGGATGAAATAAACCCAGGTTATATTAATCCTGTGCTATAAAGCTAACCATAGAAATAAACCCAGGTTATATTAATCCTGTGCTATAAAGCTAACCATAGAAATAAACCCAGGATATATTAATCCTGTGATATAAAGCTAACCATAGAAATAAACCCAGGTTATATTAATCCTGTGATATAAAGCTAACCATAGAAATAAACCCAGGTTATATTAATCCTGTGATATAAAGCTAACCATAGAAATAAACCCAGGTTATATTAATCCTGTGCTATTAAATTAATCGTATAAATAAACCCAGGTTATATTAATCCTGTGCTATAAAACTAACCATAGAAATAAACTCAGGTTATATTAATCCTGTGATATAAAGCTAACCATAGAAATAAACCCAGGTTATATTAATCCTGCGCTATAAAGCTAATCATAAAAATACTGTACTATAAAGCTAATCATGGAAACAAACCCAGGTTACATCACTACTAAGCAGTAAAATGAATCTCAGAAATAAACCCAGGCTGCATTAGTCCTGTGCTATAGAATAAACAGTACAAGTAAATCCAGGTTATATAAATCCTGTGTGTTCCAGTGTAACTAAGCTAGTGCAATCTGGCTGCTGCTTTACATTGTTTTTGCTTTTGTTTTGTATTTCCAGTATGTTTTGATGTTTCCACACTGGCCGAAGAGTTTGCCATTCAATCCATCTCTATCTGCCACATTTCTGAATGGTATTTTTTGTTCAAAATGAACTCAAAAACCTTTGGCTTTGCCAAACCAGTGCAAAGTCTCAGCCCCCCTGGCACTCCCTGCTATAAAGAAACAGATGGGAGGATATTTCCACAGAGGTCAGGATGCGAGAAGCAAAAGCCAAGCAACCCCAAAGGAAAATGTTTTGAAACTTCAACTGTTTGGTTTGCACTGTTTGGTACTGTTGTTCGCATCTTTAAGCATAAATGTAAAAATCTATATGGAGTTTTGTGGCTGCCTGGCCCGGACACTGTTTGGATTCTATATAGTAGCTATGTAGATGCCTAGGCTCCAGCTGCATGAGTGACGCTACACCACAGCTATGAAGCTACCTGGGCTGGCTGCTACCCCTTTATGGCTGAGGACCAGACATACACCAGAGTCGTGGGGCCCCCCAGACAGAGAGGGGCCTTCCCCCATGGCCAAGAACTCTTTCCCAGACAGCTAAGTGACTCTATGCTAGGTGTAGGGAGCTTCTTGTGGGAACTGTGTGTGTGTTGCGCGTTGTTTTATTTACTGTTGATTATGTATTTTGTAAGTTTTGTAAAATGTCCTTTTGTGTTTGGAAAAGGTGCTATACAAAATTACAATTTGTAGAAATAACCCCAGATTTTTTACATCCAGCATGAATTGCCATGTTGGTAAATGTTTTATCATATCCTGTGTTTGCGTTTTTTGTATGGAGGTACCCGAAGAAGTATTGTTTATATGTACTTGAATTCTCTGTGGCTCAAATCAAGCTAATATATACTGTCCTATCTCGAGTGAACAACTCCAAACATTAAAATATGTACAACGACAGACATTCGCTTGATTTTATGCTGCATTATTGACTGTTGGCTGCAGTTTCCCAAACTAAATTCCCAAGCTGTTTTCTACTTGCAAGCAGACTAACTGTTTGCCTAAGAAACATATTTGGCATGACTGTAATATGTAAAAAGAGACACATGGAGATTTTGTATCATGTGCGAATGTCAAAGTCAAGGCGACAAAGTTTCCATAGTGCTTTTTTACAACAGGCGTTGTCATAAAGCAGTTTTACAATAAAATCTGGGTCCAAGCCCTCATGAGTGTCGCCAATGGCGACAGCGGCAAGGAATAACTCCAAATGGGGAACCCATCCTCCTCTGGTTGACACCGGATAGCAAACAATAACAAAAGAGCAATATGTACATAACATAGACACAGTTATACTAACCCACCTCTTTTTGTACAACTTCCAATAGTACTTAACAGAAGAGTTAGAACACCACAACTGGACATCTGAGATGTAGAATAAGTAGAAAATGCAACCAACTTCTGTGACTGAACTTTGGAGGTGTGGAAAAATATCCCTGCAGATTTCTTTGAAAACCTGACAGAGGTCTGTGTATCAAGGGTGTCACACTTAATACTGAAACAAACTGAAATATTTAGTTAATGAAGCTTCTGTGAATTTCTATAGGTGTTAGTTGGAAATTAAGTAAATAAAAGCATAACCTGACCTCTGCACAGTCATGTACACTGTGTTTAGGAGTTTAGCATCGTGTCTGGTGTGAATTCCATGTCAGGATCAAAATTCAAGCATTTTTAAAGGTTTTAGATGAAAATGTCTTGAAGGTTAAGAGAAACATACATTCAAGAGGGTCTACATTTAAAACGAAGACAACAACCTTTGGCTTTCCAAAACCAGCACAGAATCTGAGTCCTCCTGGCAGTGCCTGCTATAAAGAAACAGATGTGAGAATATTTCCACAGAGGGCAAGATGCGAGAACCAAAAGTAAGCAACCCCAAGGAAAATGTTTTGAAACTCTAATTGTTTGGTTTGCATTATCGCTGTTTGCATCTTTAAGAATAAATGTAAAAATCCCAGTCACACACTGTGTGACTTTACCCTGCCTGGAGCTAGATTTGCCCTGAGTTACACCCAGATTTATCTCTCAAAACCAAAGAATCTGTCTTCATAGTATACCCCTGAGCTGTGTTCTGACTTGTTTGGAAAAAGGCATTCTGTCTTTAGACTCTGTTGTAGTCGAGATTTGTTTTTCTGTATTAAGAATCCTTCCACTGTAGATCACATGTGAATGGTGAAGTAGAAGAAAAAACCTAGAACGAGTCACAGTATTTCTAAGAATTGGTTTGCTGCATCAGTCCTCATTTTTTCCCCCACTACATTAACCCTCAGAATTCACAGTGGTAAATGGCAATAACAGGGTATTTTGTTTGATATTAACCCTTTACTGCATGAATTATGAAATATGCATTAAAAACAGGAGTATAAAGATTGACAGAAAATATTTTGGGGGCTGCATTGCATTTTGTTGCCTTATGGCAACAGCAGACAATATTGGAACTGCAATCTGCAATGCACAAAATCGGTCTGGAAGGATGTGTAGCTGTTAAGAAGCTGCTACAAAGAAAAGCAAACATACAAAAAATAATTTAACATTCGCACTAGAAAACAAACTGGACACCTAAGTTGTGGAATAAGGTTATATAGACCGATGAGTCTAAATTTAATTTAAATTTGGATTACTTGAATTCTAGAAAGTAGAAAATGCAACCAACTTCTAAGACTCAAATTCAGAGGTGTGGAAAAATACTCCCGCAGATTTTTTGAAAAACTGAAAACTGAAAGAATGGAAGCTGTTATCAAGGCAAAATGTGGACACACTAAATAATGAATAAAACTGATTATTTATAGTTGATTATATTAGCCAATGAGTCATTTTCTGTTGCTGTCAGCTGAAAATTAAATAAATGGAAGAGTGGTCTCTGAATTTTGCACAGTAATGAACACTGTGCTCACAAGATGCTGAAAATTATTTCAGGGGAGATTTGCAGTTTGTTGCCAATAGGCAACAGTAAGCGACAGTGGAAGTGCAGTGCATACAATGGGAGTAAACAACAAGCATAACAGCTATATATGCATAAATGTTTTCAGAATAAAGGGTATGAAAATAATTATACTGATAACATCAAGACGGAATGTAATAAGAATGTCCTGTGTGTCGCGTGGCTGTGTAGTTTTACTACCACTGTGTGCAGTGCACACTACAGTTCCATTGTCACATACTGTTGCCATATGGCAACAATTGCATTTAACCATTTTATATAAAATCTATAGCATCCAAAATAGTTTTATTTATGAAAAGAAGTGCAACTGTTTTCCATTTTTCTTGCTGTTGTTGTCAAAAAGCAACAAAACTTGTTGGCAAAGTTTTACCACGTGATGCATTGAAAAAGAAGTACACACTGCAACTAGAGGGCATATGAAAAAAGTACCATGTTCCATATAAAGCTTTTACTTTCCCATAAGTAACCTGAATTTAAAGCAATGTTCTGTGAAAATTCAAATTTACTCAATTTAGGCAACGTACACCGATGTAGTTGATCACTTAACGTTTCTAAAATTTGCTTATTTGGTTCAGCGCTGGAGCTACGAGGCTAACGTTGCTAGAAGTCAATAGTCACTAAAAGTCAATAGTCACCCAAATCTTTTCTGTAAACATTCCTACAATTTCTCTTAACTTGCTCAAACCACATTCATATCTTCATGAACATTACACACACACACTGTGTCCATGTGGTTTAGGACACAGTATGACTAACTGTGAAATATAAAGTTTAAGAAAACATCACCATGTAGCTGAATGCTGCAGACAGACATTTTAGACAACAGGTGTTGTGGTGAATTCTGACACCCCGTCACAAGCATGCATGTCACACAGGCATGTGGACGCTGCCGATTACCTTCACGATTTCTTTTGTATCTTTATAAAACTTACTGCATATCTTGAATCTTCTAACTGAAGCTATATATATGTTATATATAACAGAAATTCAGCTACACAGTGATGTTTTGTGTATTTTTATAGTTCACAGTAAGTCACATTGTGCTCTAAACCAGAGTCTGTGGAACCATAATAAAGACCTGGATGCAGTCTGGGTGGGTTAAGAGACGTTTTGGGGATTTACAGAAAAGATTTGGGTGACTATTGACTTCTAGTGTTTGTTAACATCATTAGCCTTGTAGCTCCATCTACTCGAACGAATACATCTG